GGTTTGATTCCCACTTAGGGCACATGCCTGGGTTATGGGCCAGGTCCCCAGAAGGGGGCGTGTGAAAGGCAACCACACATTCATGTTTCCTTCTCTTTCTCCCTTCCCCTATGTCTAAAAACAAATAAATAAAATCTTTAAAAAAAATAATAAATTCTAAATTCAAGAAGATATTCTTCAAAATTTAATTAGCTTACATTAAAGCATTTTGTATAGTCTATTTATTAGTTATCTAAGGTATATTTGAAAATATTATTTTTTATAGTATGGAAAAGCATATAAAGAGTAGAAAATATCTTAGGGGGAAAAACACAAATTTTTTGCAGATATTTTCAATGTTTGTCAATGAGCATATACTTTATACAGTTAAACCTTTGCATTTTGTATCCTATTCTTTTTGATTTATCATTATATAAGAATAAGCTTATTTAGAAATGGTATGTTGAATTTAAAGCAATGAATAATAAAAGTAAAGATAGGGAACTATGTAATACCATGAGTCTGTAAATTATGTTGATGTATGGAAATAATTATATATGAAATATTAAGAGATAACATTACAAAAATAAAACATAAACATTAAATACAGCCAAGAAAATTGCATCATATATTAATAAGGAACATTTATACCATGTGCAGGTTATTTCCTTGATCCTTAAAATAAACTCATAAGGTGGGTGTGTTATTCTTATTTTATAAATGAGGAAAGTAAGGGCACTAACCCCAGTCATGAGGGTTCCACCCTCATGCACTAAGCACCTTCCAAAGGCCCTGGCTCTGAATATCATCAACTTTCGGGGTTAGGCTTTCAAAAATACTAATTTTGGGGGGACAATCAGATCATAACACTAAGGCATTTACTTATTACAAATAAATATGTTGCCAGGCAGGATTTGAACTTGGTTTCCTAATTCCAAATTCAGTGGTTTTTAGTAATCCCATCTGCCTTCATGTAGAGTTATAAAAATTAGAAAAGGTTTCAAAATCATATAAAACAGTTAAATATCCACTAAATTCTTATTTTTGTCTTTTAAACTGCTTATATTCACAATAATTATAATTTAAAAAGTTCTACTTAGTAAATGACCAAATCTTTTATAGAATGTAATCTTCCTTAGGAGGAGTGAGGTGATAATTATGAATAAAAGAAATTTATTAAGGAACACTGTGTACATTTGTATATTTGAGAAAATGGTTAAAATAAAAAAGTTAATTGTCACAAGCAGGAGACAGGCATCCTCAACAATGACTGATGTTATATTATAGCAGGATTCAGCTCCTCTTGGTAGGCAAGCAGCCAAACTCTCTCCACAGGGGCAATTCTGCCAATTTCTATACAAACAAATCTTCAAAGATGAATTAAGACCCTCTTGGTGTCTACTGGAATATTGTTTAGGAAAAAATCAAGTATTTAGTGAATCAACTGAACAGCTTATCAGCATTGGCCTAGGAAAAATCATAATTATTATAACTGAATTCAGGAATGCCTCAAACAGAAGTGATAGGGATGAATACTCTAAATTTTGCCCTTCTGCACCAGTCAAAAGGAGATCTTTTGACTAATCAGTGGTGACTTTCAATGACAACTGCCTATGGGTCATATCTAGAAAAGCCAACCTGAGAAGTAGCTTTACTTCTTCCTGATCAGTGTAGAAACAAAAGGCAATATTTGGATACTCAAGAAAGGAAACTCCCTGGGAATATTAACTCTGGTTGTATGGAATATTCAGATATGGTCAGGTCCTGAATAGATATAATGCATCAAACAGAAGCAAAAGGAAGAAAAAAGCAGGTGAATATACTCCACAATCTCTTTGAGTTCAGTGGCTGAGGATTGAGCCCTGAATCCAACAGAAGAGAAGTCAGGCTTAATCACTAGTTTCATGACCTTAGGCAGGATACTTTAATTCACCTATCTGAGGGTTAGTTTACTCATTTTCAAAATAAGAATAGTAATAGTTAGCTCATAGATATAATTAAATAATGCATAGAGTATAATTTATATAGTTCTTGGGATATAGTAAGTGCTAAATAGTACACAATATTATGTTATAATATTACTATTATTAGGCTTCAAAGTAAATTAGGTATTAAAATCAAGGCTAAGTTTTTCAAAAACCATGTTTATATAACTTTTCTTCCTACAGATTGCAGTTACTCTGCAAATGATAGTGGCTGTAATATGAATATTATTGTGAGATTTATAAGACAATGATGAAATATCGTGTGTTGTTCCTTATGTAGGGGAGCCATGGGGCTATATGACATTTATAATACAACAGAAAAAGTCAAAGGAAATGCAGCCGAATTTAGCCAGTGTGTCAGTGTGTTCCACCCTTGGTATAAAACAGGATATCAAAGGAAGTAGTTGATTTTGCAATTGATTTATACTTATAGGAGAACATAGCCTGAGTCCACTGGTTTCGTCATTGTGCATAGACTTTACCTGCTCACTTGTCCAATGAATGCCATCAGGTTTGTGGCCTACAGAAGCAGAGGTGGCTTAATTAGCACGTGCACCTCTTCACCCACTTAAAATTATGTTACTGATCCACATAAAGGGAATATCTACCCCACACATGAAAGTAGCTCAATATATCTTCATTGCCCTGACACTGCTATTGATTACCTTCACTGAGATAAAAAAGAAGAACTCTTAATTTTTAATTTTTAACCTATAAAAGTTCTACTTACAGTAAATAAAGAAATAGGAAACAATTTTATCAGAGCATCATTATAAAAAAGAATCAGAACTGAGTTAATTACTAGTCTATTAGATCCAACAATTATAAGCTCCTAACATACATTCTTTACACTATATAAGTCTATAAGTTATTATATTCTATTAAGCTTTTTAACTCAATTAATTTTGAATGAATATTCAAAATTGTATATTTAACTGCCCAGACCCAGATATTTTTTGGTTTAAGAGAAAAAATGATGCAGTTTGCCTGGTGTATGATTACCCATCCTGTAGATCTGAAATGAAATGCTTTTGTAATATCCATAAGAAGACCAAGTATTAACACAGTATGGAAAATAACAACTCATTATTTTTTAAAAAAATATTATTATACAAATGTCTAAATATTAAAGTGCTACCTTTTTCTTAGAAACAAATATGTCTAAATAATTTGTTCTTATATTCCACAGGGCAAAGTTAGTTCTTCTGGGTCAGATTAATTTAAAGGTAGTCATAAATAAATACAAAAATTTAAATAGTCAAGAGACAATTCAACTTTGTATATTTTGTGAGTTTAAATACTATCAAAACTTTTAGAGATTAAATATGAGTTATGTTAGGATAATTATCATCTTTTTATAGTTAAAAAGCAATAAAATACAAAACCCACCCAAATGGCTCTATAGTTTAACAGCAGATATATATGAGAGGAGCACTGCCATTTCCTTTAGTGGGAATCAGGAGCTATTCTTTTCACTGTGGGAAGATTATTTAGTATCGCTCATATACCAAACATATTTATAAATCCCTCATACAGAGAGACTATTAAGTAGCTTATATGCATTGAGCTGAATTTCTCTTCTTCCTCAAATTATGCCCCTCCGTCAGTGTTTACAAACATCTGTTAATAGCACTGCTACTCTCATTTTCCATGTTCAAAATCTGAGACTATTCTACGTCTCTCCTTCCCCAAGTGCTGAGCATTCAGGATGTGAACAGCTCACTTTTTTTTTTTAATAGTGATGCAGTCTATGACATATTTCTACCAATACACTCAGTAAAATATCTATTGCATTCCCATTACATAAAAGGAAGAAATGGTTTCTTCAGAGAGATGAACTTACTGAGATCACACAGAAACTTACTGAAACAAATAGGATTAGAATCATGATTGGTCGAGACTCAGATCATTAATTTTTCCACTATCCCTCTGTTTCTGTTGATTTTACTTTCCCAACATTTCTCACAACTGTTTCAACTACCTCTTCCTTTGATCTGTCTCTTACTGCTTTTGTCAATAACGTCCTAGCTGGTATCTCTAACTTCATTTTTGCAGTCAAGCTATACTCTACTACCAGCTTCTTGCTTCTGAGACCTTTCTTACCTCCCTCAACCCTATGTTCCAAATTTTCAAAGACCATTTTTTACAGAATCATGTTTAAATGCCTTAGTTTTATGATCTGATTGTCCCCCCAAAATTAGTATTTTTGAAAGCCTAACCCCGAAAGTTGATGATATTCAGAGCCGGGGCATTTGGAAGGTGCTTAGTGCATGAGGGTGGAACCCTTATGACTGGGGTTAGTGCCCTTATAAAAGAGACCATGCAGAGATCCCTCATTCATTTCACTATGTGAGGACACATTGAGAAGTCACCAGCTGTGAACCAAAAGAGGGGACCTCACCAGAATGTGTCCAGGTTGGCACCTTGATCTTGGACTTCCTAGCTTACAAAACTGTGAGAAATAAATTTCTGTTGTTTATAGGCCACCAAGTCTGTGGTATTTTCTCATGACAGCCCGAATAAACTAAGATACTTGGCTAGGAATTCATGGCCTTTTATAATCTACCAAAATGAAATTCCTGATTACTTACACATTCAATTTGTCAGTCATTCAACAGGCATTACTGAGTTCCTATTGCATATCAGACATTTTGCTAGGTAGTGCCAAAATGAATAAGGTATAGTCTGGTCTTATTCATCAAGGAGCTCATTGTCTAATAGCTTTCTTTAATTACATATGCAGATAAAAATGTGCTACAGAGGCAAATTTGATTGTTTTATAAGGGTCTTATCAGAAAAAAAGTTAAGAAACATGTGGACAAGTATATATACTATAAACACTTGTTTTATATTGATGACTAATTTATATAGGATAGGATCAAATTCAAATAATACTTCAATGATATTTGAAGTACTTACCTATTCATGTTCAAGTAAGTGCCTTTTATATCTTATGGTCTTGTTAAACCATACAGATCTACTAAGTACCATTTAAAACAAACAGAGATTAAAACGTATTTTCCAATGATAACTTACCAGGAGATAAAACGTTGTTTGTGTTTCTTTGGGTTTGGCCAATTAGGGCAGTGGTAACATTCATTGATGGGTTCTTAAGTGCATTGGGTTTCTTCAGCAATGGTTTTACTTTCTTCTGAGACTTGAAAACATTTGCAAGACTACTAGACAATGATTGATTTATATGCCAAGTTAAATTAGATAGAGCAATTTGAGTTTTTATTTCAATTACTGATTCTACAAATTCTGTCAGACCTTTCTGAAGAAGTTGAACATCTGGTAGAGAATCGTTTAGCCACTTAGGTATGGTAGCATTCAGTTTTGATACACGTGAAGAAGCATTATGACACATTGTTAAAGCTTCATAGAGAGTTTTGTTAAGTAAAGAGAAGCTAATTGAAAGATGAGTAGATTTTGTTTCTAGTGCCTCAAATCTAGAATTTAATACTTGCAGTTGAAGAGCCTGGCCTTTCTTATTAGTGGCTGCACTGCCTTGTTTTAGTGAAACATAATAAGGTGTGAGCATCTTGGTCACTTTAGACTCAATGTCTTGCAACCGAGTTTCAAAATTTTTGGAAATCTTTGTGGCTGAGAACATTTTTTCTTCCAAATGACTCATATTCTCCTGGTATCGTTTCACCCTGGAAGCGGATTCACTGACAATTTGATAAATCTTTTGTAAGTTGAACTGACTTAGTTCTTCTTCTTTAGGAATATCTGCAAGGGCCTTGGCAACTTGCAAAACAAAGTTATATCTCTGATTGTCATTGACTAAAATCTGAATAGAATCATTCAAACGCTGGAATTGAGGAATAAATGTCAAAATAGTTTCCATATTTTGGGTACATTTATCATTGACTGTGGGATTGCACTTTATTGTACTTAAAGTCTCTTTTAACACATAGTTATCTTGAATGAAATCAATGGCATTATTTATAATAGTCATTGTTTTATTTAGACCATCTTCCAATTCTAAGGCATATTCATTGATACGTCTGTCTAAGGCATCAGTGCGACTCTGAGCTTCATTTCTTAGTATGTTGTATCGTTTTGTAAGTTCTTTGATAAGAGAATTTAGACTATTGACAGCATTAGTCAGACTTTCTACTTTTTTCCTTATAGCTATTGCTTCTTTTGGTTGTTCATATATCATTGTTTTTCTAACAGATACTCCCTGCTCAAGCAAGGGTTGAAGGATCTCCATATCATGGGTCAAATCAGTTAGTTGCTCATTCATTTTATCAATTTTATCATCCATGGGAAAGAGAACCTCAGCCAATGTTTGGTTTAAAACTTGTAAATTCTCTTCTGTGTCCTTAATTTGAAATTTAAAATCATGTCTGCACTCGGATAACATGTGTTCACATTCACCTTTGAAAAATTCTTTCTCCATTTCAAAAGTAATGGTGAGATTGTTAATCTTGCTCTCTTGGATGTGCAAATCATCAAACATTTGCAGCATCATCAAACCTTGCTTCTTTATATTCTCATGTAGAGTAGACAGGTACTCAGTGACATTATTGCTAACTGATCCAGCAGCTGGAACACTCTGCTGTGATATTTGTTCTGTTGATTCTTCATGTACTTCCTTCATTTTAGAAAGAATTTTATTGAGGGATTCGTAATACAGAATATTTCTTGAGTGTTCCTGTTCTAGAGCATCTTCTAAATGAGTCTGCTTTGCTTCTAGTTCTTTGATAGATTTCTCACATGTAAAAGACATTTCTTGCCTTAGATTTACAATGCGATTTTTAAGATCTAGTATATCAGTCAAAGTGGGCCCATTTTCCTGCATTGAAATCGACTTTTGCTGGACTGCTATTGAGACCATGGATTCATTTACTTGCCGAATGACATGTTTGGTGTCTTCAAGGTCCTCTGATAGTCTTGATACATTCTTGAAGAGCTGTGTTACAGTCGCTTGCATGTCTTTTTGGAAAATTTTAAATTGTTGTCTAACTATGTCCTTTACCAGATCATTAATGCTGTTGGATTTTATACCTAAAGGAAGAAGTAATAAAAAAAATGACACATAATTTAAACTATGTAAACATTAGATATCTTTAAAAAAGATTTTAAAAAGTTTGAGGCCAAACACTAATAGCACATAGTAATAAAAATACTTCTTGACTACACTAATGAAATTTTTAAACATTTCTGCAGTTTATAGAAAGTGAGCACTTTCTTAATAGATAAGTCTGAAGGGGGAAATCAACTGTGGTGTAGAATATACCAGAACCATAAAACTAAGTTTCTTTGGACAAAAGACACATGAAGCAATTACTACTGTCTTCAGTTAACAGCCTCTTGTATGCAATGATTCTAGGTCTAGTTTTAGTCTTGTATGAAAATTAATGACTTTGAGTTTTCTGCCTTAGTAAAAAATATGTTTTTAAATGTAAATAATATATTCATAAGTAAGATGTTAGGTCATGCTTGTGTTGCTAGGTTTCTAGTAATTGAATTTCAGAACTTGTGTTTTGAGTTTATAAAAACTAATAAATCAACTGCAGAGAAATAATATGGACTCCCAAGTGAGGAATAATATGAAGTAACAGTCATAGTATTCAACAATAGCTTATAATAATAACAAAACAATAATAAGAGCTTTGAAGATCACTAAATCAAATGAAAACAGAAATTCAAGATATACAATAATTAACATAATATGACATTAATTCTTAACCAAAAGAGAAGAGGCCACTTCTCACTTATGCAACACATAGTACCATCTCCAGTGTTAGAAAGCACGGACTGATCATAAGTCATGTGTACAGTTCTAAAAGTTATATTAAAAAAAGGAAATTTAAAAGGGTCCTGCACTATTCAGAAGTATTTAGAATAGAAAATGAATATATAAAGATGTAAAAAAAACAAAATAAAATGAATGAAATAAAAAAACCCATTAAAAAAACAGAAAATGAGAAAAGATAAAATATATCCTTGAGGAATGTTTATAATACACATGAAACACATAAAAATGGAAGATATGTTCATTTTAAAATGTAAGCAATGACTATAATGTAAAATATCAACAACACAATACGAAGAATTTTAAACAACACAGTCTGAACAATGGGGTATTATGAGTTATAGCTACTATGAAGCTTATTCAAGAAAGATGATTACAGGACTAAAATATACAGTCTCTCTCTCTCTCTCTCTCTCTCTCTCTCTCTCTAGTTATATAGTTAGCCAGTTTCTAAAAGTATTTAAAATGCATGAAAGATTTACAGAAAAAATATTATAAAAGAGCAATTATACCAGGTAGGATGATGGCTTGACCATCTCGATATTATTTAATCTGGTACTAAGACAAAACTCTAAATGTTGTTTATATGGATAAACTTTCCTGGAAATCCTAGACCCTAAGGATCAATGTTGGAAATCCTAGACCCTAATGATTTTTAGGGTCTAGTGTTTCCAACATTAAAAAAACTATCATACATTTCTAAAACTAGTGAAAATTGAAATAAATTTAAAAGGACAAAAAAGTAAAAATCAATTTGTATATAATAGAAAATAAAACATATGAAGTATGGAACAGTAATCAATGACACATAACAATAAAGTACTGAGGAAAGGCTAAATTAATTAGAAAAGATTACATAGCCACAACTAAGATAACTTGTACTGAAATAGTCCTAGCTTCTTTATTTAATAACATGAATAAGTATACAAGAAAGGCTTTAAAGATTTTTATTCTCCAAATTTTACTTAGCATTTAACCAGTCAGCCACTTATAAAACAAATGTTGAGTACACCCTGTATGCTACACATAAAATGAGATTTGGAAAATTAGATTTCTTATTTTTAAAAAAATATGTTAGCTTCACTGAGTATAGGTGCTTCTCAATACCAAAGTTATTTTTATTGCACTTTCTACAGGATTATTTAGTTATTTCCTGTTTGTTAAAGTTGTCTTTAATTCTTATGACAAGCACTTGATCAAACACAATAAAATATTTAAGGTTAGAAACTACTCTTTCCTGAAAATTATAATCTTATAATTTTGGCTTTAAAATGATTTTCAAGATTACAAAGGTAAAATAAAACTTAAATGTACTTGAATTAATCAATTAATTGTGGACAATAACAATAGGTGTTTAATTTCAGCAAGTGAAAAATGTGACCTGAGAGCCCAAAAAAGAATGATTGTAGGTAAGAACACTGTAAGTAGGTAAAAAGCAGTACAGAATCCTGATTGAAGTAATTAAGAAAAACAGTGAAAATGAAAATTAGGAGGTGCTTTAGCTGTTATTTAATGGAAAAATATATTGGGTAAAGGGTAAAATCACAGAAGTGTCTGAAAATAAATAAAGTTATTAGCTTAAAAATTTGTTTCAGGGTAAAAAGCTTTTCGGGTAACATTTCTATAATTTGTTATCAGAGAAACATCTGCAAGAATTTGATTTTGCAAAAATATATAAGTGATTTCTGTTAATATTTGAATGGGCATGTCATTGTAACCCATTTTGGTTCTCATGTATTTCTTCTACTTCCTAAAAAAGATGGTGTTTGACTTAACAGATATATTTGATATATTTGGTGACATGCCCCTTTTGTGGTTGTGAATTATGGCCTATTCATAACTTTCAAATACCTCTTAAGGAGTTGGGGCATTTGATTTTGAACACTTGTTAGTGCTACTAGCAGATAAAGCAGTGTTCCTCACCTCAGAATTAAGAGTCAGCATGAGCAGAGATTGTGTTTTGCTAGGCAAGCACAGTGCCTAGAAGAGTGAGTTTAGTTTTCACTGCCTGTACCGATATTCATTAACTATAAGCCCTCTGATTCTCATAACTGATTGTGCTCAGTACACAATTAATGCCTTCTAACGAGGAAGGAATTTTATTGTTTTATAAGAGGATACTTTTTTTCTGTGCCACTGCCAGAATTTTTGTTAGGTTTATGAGAAGCAGGTAATAGGCTGAATTCTCTCCAGTTATGATAACCAAGTTTTGCTAAACAAATTTCATTATGGTGGTTATAGTCAAGTATATACTGTGTCTTTTTGACTTCTTGCTCATGCTCTCACTTCGGGGAAAACGTATGTCTCTCTTATGCTTGTCATCAGTAAGTTTTGGCAATAGGGGACATGCCAGAAATGTAGGACAGCATCTTTCTTTCAGTGGCTTACTAGCACCAATTATTTACATGATTAAAAATAATCATGGTTGCTACTATACAGGTAGATGCTATGGAAATAGAAAATGCCACCTTTTTTTAATGTCCTTCACCTGTAGACGATGGGCGAAAAATAGGAAAAAAAAAAATTTGTGAGATACAGAAACAAATTGTATGGTCAGTATTCTTTATTTATAGAACAAAGTGAAAGGGACCAATAATCCTGAAACTTGAAAACAACCCATAAACCCAGTGAACTGAGAAGTTCCTAATAACCAAGATACTTTCATAGAATATCCATGCTTTACCTGATTCCACCTTGGCTAATTAACTCCTCCTGATCAATCATTTATTAGTTGAGATGGTTTCTCTTCATAAAAACCTCCCCTGGTCTCCTTACATTGGATTTGTTGAAAGTATCAATCAGACCCATTGTACCATGTGCTTAACACTACCATAGCAATTACTCACTAACTACAGATCTCTGTGGAAGGCAGAATTGTGCTGCCCTGTCCAAGATGTCCACACCCTCTTTCCCTGAATAGGTGGATATGTTATCTTACAATACATTGCAAAAGGGCCTTACAAGATGTGATTAAGGTTAAGAACCTTGAGAGGAGAAGGTTAGTATGTATTATACAGGTGAGCCCAATGGAATCCAACGAGTCCTTAAAAGAGGAAGGGGAAGGAAGAAGAGAGGGTCTGAGAGGTGTCAGAAGGACTCAACAGCTGTTGCAGACTGAAGTGGAGCTAAAACTCTATGCACTGTATAAGCAGACCACTGAAGGACCTTGTAATATGCCCAAAGCAGGTGTGTTTGACTTTATTCATATGGCCAAATGGGGATGCAGGAATGCTTTTGACAATCTGCTTAAGGACACTGCCAGGTAGAACTATATGGATTTGGTGTCCAGTTTGAGTTCTTCATCTGCATCTTCTAGCCAGAAGCCTGAAGCAGACAGGAAACAAGAGGAACATGAAAACCTGGTGGTGACCTCTGGTGACAGCATCACAAAGATCATGTTGAACTGGCCCACCAGAAAGAATGCAATCAACACACAGGTGTATCGAGAAATCATTCTTGCACTTAAAGCTGCAAGCAAGGATGACTCAACCATAACTTTCTTTTTTAACAGGAAATGGTGACTCTTACTGCAGTGGGAATGACCTAACTTCACTGATATTCCCCCTGGTGGAATAGAGAAGAAAGCTAATAATAGAGCTATTATGCTGAGGGATTTTGTAGACAGTTTTATAGGTTTTGCAAAGTTACTGATGGCAGTGGTAAGTGGTCCAGCTGTGGGGATCTCCATCACCATCCTGGGGCTATTTGATGCTGTGAATGCCTCCGACAGGGCAACATTTCATACTCTTTTTAGTCCCCTAGGCCTATGTCCATAAGGATGCTCTTTTTACACTTTTCTGAAGACAATGGAGCTGGTCAAGGCAACAGAGACACTTAATTTTCAAAAGTAACAGAAGCATGTGCTCAAGGACTTGTTACTGAAGTTCTTCCTGATAGTACTTTTCAGAAAGAAGTTTGGGCCAGGCTAATGGCATATTCAAAGCTCCCCTGAAGTGCCATGAGAATTTCAAAACGGGTCATCAGAAATATGGAGGAAGAAAAGCTACATGCTGTTAATGCTGAAGAAAGTAGTGTCCTCCAAGGAAGATGGTTGTTTGACAAAAGCATAAATGTAGCCTTGAACTTCTTGTCCCAAAAAAAGCAAAACTATGATGACTACTAGACCAAAGTTAAGATTTTTGAAGGAATGATATGCTATGATTTCTGATTTCCAATACTTGAACTAAATGAACTTTGCTGTCCTTTTTTTCAGTGATGAATTATCATTAATTATGATTATATTTCACTAGAGCCCTGATGAAAAACAAGTAATATAAATCAAGCTTTAAGAATTCACTTAGGTTTATCCTGGCTGGATAGCCAGTCCAGTTGGTTAGAGCATCGTCCTGATATGCCAAAGTTGCAGGTTCAATCCCCAGTCAGGGCACATACAAGAATCAACCAATGAATCCATAAATAAGTAGAACAACAAAATTGATGTTTCTCCCCCCTCTCTTTTTTTCTTCTCTCTCTAAAATAAATAAATTTTTTAAAAATTTAAAGAAAAAGAAAGAAGTCCATAAGCCAAGAAATGTAGTGGCCTGTAGAAACTGGGAACAAGCCTCAGTCCCACTACTGCAAGAAAATGAATCCTGATAATTTGAATTAGCAGGATATAGATTATCCCGTAGAACCTCCAGAAAGGAACACAGCCTGCTGTTTTGAAAGCATGAAATTCATTTAGTGGGTTGTCTTTTTGTTCATGGTTTCCTTTGCTGTGCAAAATCATTTTAGTTTGATATGGTCCCATTTGTTTATTTTTTTTCCCTTGCCTGAGGAGACTCAGATAGAGAGCAGGCTGACAGCTCTTGTGAAGGAGGTGGGTTGGGGAGCAGAGAGATCGAGCAAAAAATAAAAAGGACTTATGAACAGGAATAACAGTTTTGTGGTTACAGGGGGAGGGGATGGGTGGAGGTGGCTGGGGGTGTAAGGGGGATAAATGGTAATGGAAAAATACAATAAAAAATAATAGGTGTTAAAAAATAAAAGTACAAAATTCAGGCAAAGCTGATTCACATTTACAAAGAAATTATTATTTCTCTGACCTGAGATGTTTAAGAATATGTGTTTTTGATTATGCTCCAGGAGCTAGATATTGTAATTTCTGGATAATAATGCACTTGAGATTTAGTCTAAATACCTTCACCAATATTATTTAGAAAATCATGAATCTAGCTATCTTGTTAATCATTCCTTAATCTCCTCTTTATACTGAAATGGAAAGGACAATAACAATAAATTAAATATGGCTCATAATTAAATTTTTTAATATAAATAAATAATAGTTAAGCTATAACTAGGTATATAACATCAATAAATCAGATGAAATATTGAGTCAAATATTTGACTATATCATAAAGCAATATTTAGATATTTCAAATTATTTCAGAAACTAAGTTATTTAAAATTTTCTGATTAAAAAAATCTGTATCAGATTAATATAGCACCCAATCTAAAGCAAAGATACCAAAGTGATATGAGAAAAGATAAATGAGTTATTTGCCTTTTGTCTTAACTGAATGAATGATTTATACGGTTTTACTTTTACCTTTTAGAAAATATTGAAATTCGCTGCCTTTATTTTCATTGATTTTCTCATCTAAGGAGGAGTATGTGTTCCTTACATCGGTCACAGCCAAAGAAATATCGTCAATCTTCTTCTGCAAAAGAGTCAGTTTCGTTGCTTGGTGGTTCATCTGGTCAGTCATTTTTTGTGTCACTGCTGTGTGTAGAAGGAGGGAAAATTGGAAACATTAAAAATACATATTTAAAATCTTTCAAATGTCATGATAGGTTTAAAGGTAACTCAAATAAATAACATTTGCACTATGTATTTAAAAGTATAGGCTATATGCATTTAGCAAATGACAACCAGAATTTTATACTACTTAGGGACAGAAATTTGTAAAAAGTTTTATAATAGCTTAGAGTTCTAAAATCTTTTAACTATGTCCAGAATTTTTAGGGTTTTTTTTAACCTCACTGAGTTTTTGTTACAATCTCAACAGATAAGAAATTCAGGGTCAGAAAATAAAAATAACTTGCTTAAGGTTTCAGAGCTAAGGGCGCATCATCTGCTTGCAAAGTCAATGCTGCTGCATTGAATGTGTGTAGCCATATACTTATATGTATGTAGATGTGTTTATATTCTGAGAATTTTATTCTTTACCTAGGTATTCTTTAATAGGAGATAGATTTCAGTGTATAATAACTTTATATAACAATGATACCTTTCATGCCTTTTGAAATGCACTTCAATAAATCAAAGATGATTTTATGATGTTTTATGAAGATACTGAATTTTAATTCCTTAAAAAAAATTGAGTGCCATTTCTCAACTATATTCATGCACATTCTTAAAGAGATTCCCTTAAGTGATGTTTCTTAATTTGATTGCTTGATTTTGTACAACTATACCAAATAGAGTGAAGAGATGTTTTTATCAGTAACCAAACTATGTTTCTAAGAGGTAAAACTGAGCCTAAAAGAAATGGTATTTATGATTAGAAATAGGAAAATATATGTAATAGGACACTTTTAGAACAACAGAAGATTCTTGTTGGTTCTTAGTTACAATTCTTCTCTCTAGTCATTATCCCTTCATGATCTCTATCAAGCAACGGAATGAAGCCTTCCTTGCTCCCTTAAAAGAATCAAGGCATTCCTTCCATGTCAAGATTCTTCCATGACTACACTCTTTGGAGGACAAAAGTCTGAATTTACTTTGGGAAACTGTGATTTCCTAGTAGCAGCATTTTTATTTGTCTGTGTCTGCAAACAGAGCTTCAATAATTATACAGGGTCTCTTCAGGCTTGGAACCTGCAGCTCAGCCATAGATTCTCTCAACATGCAGCACCAATAGCAAAGGGTTCAGAGGCATGTTAACGTGTCATCAACAAACATTTGACAGCCAAGTGATTTCTTGTTTGGAAGTTGTCGTAAACAGCGTTGACAATAATTGGGTTAGGGATGATAGCAATTACAATCTGTGACCTGGGTCACAACAGCCCTGCTGCTGTTGTCGCTGCTCGGCCGTCCCTCCGTCAACGGCTGCGTGACTCTCAGCCTGGTAGGTGTGTATCAAGTGCTGCTGTTCCTGGGCTAGACAGAAGCCAAAGAGAAGAGAGAGAGTTAAATATTGGGACTGCCTCATTTTTTCCAGTCCTGAACAATAATGTGGCTGACATTCATTTTCTTGTCTACTGAAGCCCGCCCGGGTGATTGCAGAGGAAGCGCCTCTGCCAGCACCGACAGGGCAACGGGCGACCGCATTGATTTGGGAGGGCAGGCCTCTCGTGTTCTGAAAAAAGTATTCCGGTCTCTTTTCAGTCGAAAGTGGTTGGTTGTTTGGGGAAACTGTAAATGGACAGGCATAACCGGCCTGCATAATGGAGGGGAGTTTAAAATTAGCTGTGTTAAAATCCATAGCAGTTTTACAAGTTGTTGGCCATAAAGGCTGCTTGTTTAACAATGCAATTTCCAACTGGTGTCAACTTGGAAATAAGGGAGAGCTATGGATTCCTTACTGAAAGGGTATCTGTTTTAGTAATAGTGCCATGTAAATGTTTTTTCCCAGATTTTAAGAAATATATGGGCTCAAAACATAAGAACTGTAAGTAAAAATAAACTATTACGGGGCACATCTCAAGGGGATCAACCTGTGAAATCAATGAAATTTCAAAAAAATAGAAAGTCTTACAAAATAAACCTCTCTGTTAAAAAAAATTGCTTCCTATTTCCCATGAATCGAGTAATATTTTATATGGCAACATAATTTTTTAACTGGGGAAAACAAATGAAGGAAGACATTAAAAATATTCAACGTATTGAGTAATGTATATCTGTAATTTATAGACTTCTAATGAACAAATTTATTCATTGAAGTCTGCATATCAGATATGAGAAAACAAGTGTTTGGCGTCTGTACTTCTTCCCATGTGAAATTATGTACTAATGAAATTACACCTTTGGCACATGTTAATTATGCTCTCTAAGGCATATGTGGCTGTGACAATAATACTAAAGCATCTCTACTCCATAGAAAGTATAATATATTTGACACTAATTTGAGGTAGTCTCTATTGTCAGATTGAATTTTGTGTTGCTCTCCTTCAGAGCATTGAGCTAAATTAATGAATTGTCATTCATGTACAAGGTTTTTGGTTTGATTTTGTTTCTTCCTGCCTCTCCTTCTCCCCACTGTATTATAGACCATCCTACATAACTGTTGATTTATTTGGTTGAATAAGACAATCTGCATCTTGGGAAAAGTGCACTTATTTGGGGCTTGTGATATGTTATGGAGAGTGTTAATTTTCTGCTTAGTCCTAGCAATAAAGTTCTTATAGTCCAAAGTCAAGTTAATTCTTAACAAATATATATAGTAAATCATTGGATACATTTTCAAAATCAAGATTCCTGCTTAGATAAAGCAATAAAGCATTTCTCTGGCAGCTAAAACCTGCCTATCCAAGAGGATAGAGCAATGGTTCTGGAACCAGGGTCCTTGAATCAGCCATATCAGCATCACCTGAGAACTTTTAACTATGCACCTTCTAGGCTCACCCCTCCACACCTGCTTATTTAAAAAACTGAAGTGGGGCAGCAGTCTGTGGTTTAACAAGCTCTCCAGGTGATCCCAATGTACACTAAAGTGTGAGAACCACTGGATTAGGGTATAAAGATTAATTTTCCTTAGCAATTTCCCACCTCTGTACCTTCACTGTTTCCCTCAGCAGTGAAGGAGTGCTCATGATACAGACTTGTGTTTACAGCCAAAGGAACAGGTGGGTTTAAAAGGATGAACAAATGGTATTTTCATGTTCTTACCTTTTTGAGCTAGATCACAGAAATACAAAAAGAGCTGGCACATTAAAAGACATACATTGCTTGCTAGAGAGCAGATACTTTGTTAGGAGGCAACACGTAATTATAGTGAAAACAAAGATTATATTGTTTTGTGGCATACAGACAAGGTTACTTGGAAGAGTTCCTTTTCTTTTATTAACTTTCACCACGTTATAGATTTTTTTTTTAACATTTCTTTAGAATAGTAGTTTTTCATCAGGTATGGAAATCAGAAGCACCTGTAAACCTTGAAACACTAGAAATGTCAGTGTTCTTTCCATTCCCCTGCTTGGAGATTCTGATTCAGCTCTGTTCTGGGGAATTGGAAAAAAATATATATATATACACATATATATATGGAAAACAGAGTCAATGAAGCTCCCTCACCCAGATGTCCAGGCAAACATAACTTAGCAGAGCTCATATAACCTTGAGCTCTGCTAAGAGTTCACATAACTCAAGAGAACCACATGCATAGAATGAAGCTCTGTTATATAACTGAAGGTCCATATTCACATCTTACTGGCTTTGTGTACATTTAGCATATAAGGGAGTTGGGACTTCATGGTGGGACACGTGGCTTGCGGCATAAATGGATCGCCCCAACCCAGAATAAAGGCATGTCAGACACTCCAAGGGCTCCATGAATTTCCTTCCGTCGCCTGAATTGTGCATGAACCTGCCAGCCTTGAAAGGCTGCAACACTATTACATACACACACACACACACAAGTTTAAAACTTTATTATATGCATATATATACACACAATTTTAAAACTTTACAGGTGATTTTGAAGTATAACGCTGCTTAAGAATTATTGATTTAGAGCAAGTTGTAAATTTTCTAATTCTAATGAGTAAATTCATTGCTTAAAATACCAGATATTTTTATATTAAAATACAATCCAGAAATTGATGTTCATAGATTTTTAAACAGCCACACACACTTGTTGATAACAAGAGCATATCTTAAAGATGTGATTTATTTTAACTCCAATGAATGAAAACTTGAGTCTCCTACCACTCACTACATAGTGAAGTGAGCCTTCATAAGGAGCAGGTAAAGGAGGCTGGGGTGGAAGGTGCTGTTCAAAGTTCCACGATTCCTTCATGTAGATAATTCTATTATCTTTATATTTATGGCACAAGGTCCCTGAATATGTACTGCTAAGCCTGGAGCATGTGAAGAGTGTCTGAGCCACCTTCCCAGCAATCAGATACACAGCCCACTGACAACGTGGAATGTCTCAGAAAGAAAAGGCCCTTTCCATTAAAAACTTACGTTATTACTCCTCACTCACATTTAGCAACATTCTACATACCTCACCTCCAAGATCATATTTAGTTAGTATGCACTAATGTGGCCTACCAATTATTAAAATATTAAAACGAAGCCATACCTGTTGGCAAATATATAATAATAAAGTGTGATCACTGATACATTATAAGTATAAAATTAACTTATTCCAAATTAATCATGGATGCATAATAAAGGATATGTCTTGTAGAATATAGGATTACTGGAATTCCTTTTGTAAAAATACCTGAGAAGTATTTTCAGAATTAATAGTTTGCTGGGCCCATGACATGCACTACACAGACTTTATGAAACATTCGGTGTTTTAGCAGACTCATCAAATTGGTGCTTATTTTAGTTCACTTGTTATTACATACTAATCGTTTTTGAGGCAGTTTCCATAAATGTTATTTGAGAATTTATAATAAATTATTAAAACTAGCTCGCATGGAACAACTTTTGATATACAAAATAACAACTGAATTAGTTGTTAAATGTTTGACTATGGCCCCCGAGCCTTCCTACCCCATTCTCCTGATCGAGAGACAGACTGGTTTAGGTGCTCATGACCCCGACTGAAGTATAGTGGCATTAATAAAAATCACAGGCATTTTAAATAGAGTTTATTTCTAGAGGTTGATAATACTTTGCTAAAGCTTTATTATAAATAGCAAGGCATTACTTTATATTGTGTTAGCATATTTGAATGAAAACGGGTCTCTTTATCTCACTCTTTATAAAGTATTCCATGTTGTACATTGAATGTGGCGGTTCTAACACTATATTCCACTTAGTTCCCTTCTCCATTTGAGAAAGACTGGCAAAGCAGGGAATATCTCACACACACGCACACATTCGCCCAGGAGTAGATGAGGGTATTATAAGTCTTCTAGTGTCATAATTGAGTGGGAGGACTTTATCCTCATAATGCTCTCTGTGCCATCAAGTTGAGGCATTTTCAAGAAGTGGAAACAAACATGGGTAAAAGGTCAAGTGTCAAGAATAGAAAGAAGGTAAATGAAGAGTTAAAGCCTAATTTTCTATTGACCTTAGGGTCAAAAGAATTTAAAATAAATTTCATTCATGTGATCTTGAAAAATGCAATTTCTTTACAAACAAGGGAAAAGAAAGTGACATGCTAGAGAAAATCAGAAAATTAGGAAAAAAAACTAAAAAGATTAGGAAAAATTAAATCAGTGACAAGTGATTAACTTTAGAAAAAAATTGAAAGGGATAAAGAATAATACATAGAAGTATTGAGTGCAAGTCTTTAGTTATTTTGGATACTAATTTTTGGCAATTCGCTCCTCATTATGTGGAAACATAATATATATAAAGTAAGAAAAAAATTCTCCATAATGTGAAGTGTTGAAAAGACTGATTTAAAAGAAAATATAATTGGAAAAATACTTCAAATATCAAATGACAAAAACTAATGTGATTTAACATGTAACGTGCATTAAACTTTCCATTGGCTCTTAGCAATACTTTTAAATTAATTGTTTTAGGAGGGAATAGGTCAGGAACTTGTACCCTTCAGTTAAGAAAAAATAGTAAATATCACAAAAAGCTCTTTGGGATGCAATTGTCATATGAACCTCTCTTCTCTGGAAATCATCGGATGGGGTCCCTGCCAAAGCTGTTAAAAACTTGAAATGCCTGTTTAACAAATTCAGTAGTTTATGTTATCTTTTTCTAGCTCTGTCTGTTGACTTGAGTTCAATGCTTGCATTTATCCCAATTTACTGCTTGCGAGTCGGCTGGTGGAAAAAAGTGCTGTGGAATCTCTGACAGTGGAGTCAGTTACTCTCCTGTGAGAAAGTTGCTGGTTGATCAATAATCTTTTAGTTTTTCATTTAGCAATCTTTCTGTCTTCCCAAACGGGTTCTCTACCACAAGGACTGCCACAGATCCTAGGTTTTTGAGGCAATCTACTGCACTGTGTTCTTAAACACAGA